GGTGGCGAGTTCGAGAATGAGAAAGCGAAATATGACGGGGCAAAATAGACTTGGGATCTCGTTTTGAAGTTCAGTGATTGAATTTAACAATTTGATTGGAACAACAGTGGTGTCTGTGACGAACGATTGAATATAAACAGTCATGTAAAACATAATTGCAGCGCATTCCACTTTTATTCGCATGATTTGGAATGACAACAGAAATTGACAGAAATAAATTGGGCGCATTATTCTTAAAATAACATTTCAAAGGGAATAGAAAGTCAGTCTATATCCGTTGTTTTATTTTCATCACCAAATCTAATTTGGGGTTTATCATATTTATAGGACTATGAAGAGGAGACATACTAAATGTTCTGTCGGGCTTTCTAATTTGATTATGTTTGGAAAACGTAGAAGAACTTTATACAAAAAATTCAAAACAAATATTCTTTGAACTCTCTCGCGTAACATCATGAATTCTATATCCATTTTAAAGATAAAGGTGAGTTCTGTTAAAAAAAAAAGAAAATGAATTCTCACAGAATCAAACGAAACTTACACTGAATGTTCAAGATTACAAATAAATGTCATTTGCCAAACAATTTTGGTAAAAAAATGTATACAGAGTAATGAACATAGAAAGATTAGGAAATCAAGGTTAGTAGCCCCGACACCATTTGTGTAGTCCCATATTCATCTTTCTGTGTACAGTGCTTATTACTTTACCAAGAATGGGCCAAATTTATTATGATTTTGATGACTTCAGAACTTTACAGTACACACCAATACTTACATGCTACATGATCAACCTTTTCTGATTCATTCAACGCCTTTTCTTTCACAATGCAATCGGATGACCAGAACTCACCTTTATCTTTAAGAACTGAGAACTTGACCAAAAAGTTTCAGGTCACGAAATAAAAGTAATAATAATAATAATAATAATCGTCACAGGTACTATGTCCCTTTTGTAGCCAACTTGAAATTCTGTAGAACTTTGCAGGAATTATGAATATGTCATGTATGTCCTATCTGTGAAATTTAAACGTTAGCAGTGTCCTCATATTCAAATTATGCAAGGACACCCGTTTACTTGCTAGACTTCACTGTCAGACACTATTGGGTGACTGACTGGCTTTTTTCTTCTTTGGTAATAACATACATGAAAAGAGTTGTAAAGGGTACATCAGCAATTGTCTACATCAATAACCCACTTCTTGTGATGGCCAAGATTAAACTGATTGAATCTTTGCGCAGCATAAAACGTATGACCATTCGGTACAATTGTCTGAAAATCAAGACTATTACTGTTGGGCTCTATAGCCCAGAAGACATTTTCAAGCCCCACCTTTTTTAGGAAAGTTCTAAATAAGTATTATCTTTCAAATGCAGTTGGAATTTAACCTTTTCATTTTTTGGGCCTGCAAATGGGACATAGTACCTTTAATACTACATTTCTAAGCGCTTAGGATTCAATTGCTAATCCGCACACGATAGCGCACACGCTCCGCTTCCTGAGGAGTATTCCGGCCAGGCGCCATTTTACAAGCGCACAAGTGCACACGTGCCAATCCAACCCCATTAATTAACGTTCGCATCATATACCGGGTATTCATTTGGCACCTGGGTGGAGAGTGGCAAACGAGTGGTAAAACCCATGCAATAAAAACTATCATAGAAAAGGTACCAAGAGAAGAGAAGAACGGGAACCTGACACGACCCCTCTAAACATTCTTGAAAAAAAGTAATGAATACAAAAATAAAAAAAGTAATGAATATGCCTATCCATTTTATTAAGGCAATTTGAAATTCGGGAACCATTTTTCTTAACGCCAGTTCGGGACTCGCAGTTTTTGCGTATAAGAAAACTGGTCCGACCATCTGACATCCTTCGCCAGTTTTTTTTTTTGGCAAGCTCCCTGCCAGCAAGTCACCTTTATTCACTAGCTATGTAGACTCTTTATACACACTTTCTTCGAATTATAATAACCCTCAACAAACTACTTTACTCTCCATGTGATTGCCAAATTTACAGAACACACCGACCTATCAATAAAGAAGCGGAAACGACCCAAGCGACCCGTCAAGGAGAGGGATGATTGATGCCCCATCAATGTCATTATATTTAATTCATCCGGACTTTTTGTTTTTATTCTAGCTGCTGTTCGTATCCTCTTCTTTACTCGACAACGAGACAGAATTTTATCTCCGCAAATAGCGCCTCCCACGTCCCGAACTTCAGTTAGAAAAATTATTGGAAATTTGGAAAATTGGAACGATAAATGCAGTCATGATGTTGAGGTCTAAATAAATCCGCGCCACACCATTTGATCCCGATATAGCGCTGTGGTATTTGTATAGGCCATTACAAATTGATCAATATACTGATATTTAAAAAAGATTCAAATACATGTTTAGCTTCAAAATAAAGCTACTGAAAAAATAAACACAAGACAAAGTGAATTTGTATGGTTAGAGATACTACCATTTTGGGGCACACATCATGGTCGGTTCCACACCGTTTCTTTCACAATGCAATTGCATGACCAGAACTCAACTTCATCCTTAAAATGCATAACTATGATAAAATGACCCATAATTCCACCTGCGGTATTATTGGCATATCCGGAGTTGGGTATGGGGGCACGCGCCCCTCGTTAACCCTAATCTGATATGAAAAAAGTTACAAAAATTGTCTCCAAGTTGTGAATTCGGCCTTGTTGGCAGAAATAACTGTAGACACCTCAAAGACATCTGAAACACGGGCTTTCTCTTTTGTTTCTTCTTCAGACGTGTAGCCCCCCTCACCCGGCCTAAGAATCTTAGATATAGCAGCAGAGATGGACCATTACCGTATATTTTTTTCGGGGGGGGGGGGGAGGCTTTCTCTATTGTTTCTTCTTCAGACGTGTAGCCCCCCTCACCCGGCCTAAGAATCTTAGATATAGCAGCAGAGATGGACCATTACCGTATATTTTTTCGGGGGGGGGGGGGGGGGCTTTCTCTATTGTTTCTTCTTCAGACGTGTAGCCCCCTCACCCGGCCTAAGAATCTTAGATATAGCAGCAGAGATGGACCATTACCGTATAATTACAGCCGATATGATTGTCGACAGCTAGTTCTTTCTGTCCTCTATTCATTAGCGGTAGCCGTGTTGGTCATCCCACGGCTCGTAAATAGGAAACGTCGTGTAACCGAGGAGCTAATGACTTAATTACGCACTCATGATTGCGTCAAAAACCCAAGGTTTGTCAAGGATATCAATACTTCTGACACCTCTGATCAATTCCAGCAGCTGGACCTTTTTTGACTTGTCCAAAACACCTTAGGATTGACAAAGGGTGTTATTTGTGAAGTCCCGACGTTTCGTCCATCAAAGCTGTATTCCCATGTAAACTATAAAGCTGTAAATGCACACAAATTAGTTTCCTTTCGATTTTCATCTGCTCTAGGTCTCTTTTACTCCATTTCCTTTTGTCTTCAATCCTTTACCTCCTCTCTCTCTCTCTCTCTCTCTCTCTCACTTTCTCTCTCCTTCTGCCTCTGTCTGTCTCTTTCTGTCTTTCTTTATCTTTTTCTCTCTCTCTATCTTGGCCCTACCACTTTAAAGATAAACTTGAGTTCTGGTAAAAAAAGAAAATGAATTCTCACAGAATCTAATGAAACTTACACTGAATGTTCAAGATTACAAATAAATGTCATGTGCCAAACAATTTTGGAAGAAAATGTATACTGGCTGAGTAATGAGCATAGAAAGATAAGGAAATCAGGGTAGTACTAGCCCCGACACCATGTGTGTTGTCCCATATACATCTATCTTTGTAAGTGATTGTTACTTTACCAAGACTCTGCCAAATTTATGATGATTTTGATGACTCTAGAACCTTGCATTACACACTATTACTTACATGCTATATGATCAACTTTTCTGATCCATTCCACACCTTTTCTTTCACAATGCAATCGCATTACCAGTACTCAAGTTTATCTTTAATATCTCCTTGTATAATTCCTTCCCTCTCTTTCTCTCATATCTGTTACTATTTTTCTCACAAAAGAAACACACATAAGGGGCATTTAATTTACACTGTCTTCCAAACACGCCAAAAAATGCCAAACCGGAGCCTTTTGTGTAAACTTATTTAATGTAAAAAAAAGTACTCTATTCATAAAACATTCCGTAGATCTCTTTTTTCTATAATAAAACTATAAAAACGACAATTGAATATATACAAAAGATACACTGTCGCTCATAAAGTTGTAATATTTTTGTTTTTCCTCAACTTATGGAATTATTTTAAAAATAATTAAAAAATAATAGATCTAGATAATAGTATACATTCTTAGATTTTATTGAATAATTATTTGACAATGTGTGTTTTGCGTGACTGATAAAGCATGTGTATGCTACTATACTTATCAACTAGGGAACCTACGCCCTTAAGTCATAAATGACAGTAATGAGGATTAATGCCCCACAAAAGGACACTAATATAGCACATCGACACGGTTTTGATCCTGGGGCCTCACAGTTACGAGGCTATTGCTTTGTCACTGAACCATGACTGTTCGCAGTGGGGGCATAAAAAAATCTTCTTGGCGGCCATGCATTATGGCTCAAGGCATGGGCACACAGAGGATTTTTTATGTTGGGGACCGAGGTAAAGTGCAATAAATTATTGAAAATTTATTGCATTTTTTTAATTTTTTTTTATATTTATGGAAACTGCCCCCTATCCTAGCCCCACTGCGTACAGTCACGGTTCAGTGACAAAGAAATGGCCTCGTAACTGTGAGGCCCCAGGATCAAAACCGTGTCGATGTGCTCTATTAGTGCCCTTTTGTGGGGCATTAATCCTCATTACTGTCATTTATGACTTAAGGGCATAGGTCCCCTAGTTGATAAGCATAGCAGCATACACATGCTTTAGCAGTCACGCAGAACACACTTTGTCAAATTATTATTCAATAAAATCTAAGAATGTATACTATTATCTAGATCTATTTTAGGGGGAAAACAAAAATATTCCAACTTTATGAGCGACAGTGTAGAATCCAATAAGTATGTGTATGAAAATACCTCGTATGCATGTCATTGCTATAATCAAAGCTAAGGCAGTATAATGGTTGGTTTGATGAATAAACATTCAACCTTTTTTTATTGTTATATTTTTACTAAGTTTCCCCTCCATTCTGTGGTATTTGCTAATCAAATAAAGCATACAGAAGGAGACCTAATGGTTGCACATGTTCACTAGCATAGGCATTACAATTAGTACAAATGTCTATTCATTAATCCGCTATTGGTTTTAACTATAGCTTTCACATTCTTGAAATTCCTTTATTCTTTAATTTTCTTTTCGAGGGTTTATGAACGATATTTCATCCAAAATGATCCACCTTCTTAAAATGGGTTGAAAGAACTTCAGATATCATACGTGTTCAATAATATTCTTTGGTCTTTAATGCTCTGTTTTAAAAATTGCAATCAAATGATAAATGTTCTTTGGCTTTGTTCACGTGTGGACGTGGGCATATATTTTCGCGAGTGGGGGAGAGGGGGAGAGGGGGGAGGGGCGGGCTTTGACTCGAATATATTTTCAGATTATAGATTTTCCGAACGCGAGCGACACAAACGTTCAAATAAGTTAACACTTTTTCGCTGCCAACATTTTAGATGGTGACACGGTTGTCCGAATATAACAGTTTTAAAATTCCTACCCAGGGGAGGGGTAGGGGCTGGGATGCGGCACCCTAGCCACCCCGCCCCTACGCCTATGATCATAATTACACGTAAGAATAGTCACAGTGATCTCGAGCAATCATCATGGAGTCAGGTTCTTCGTCTGTTCTGTCGTATTTAGATCAACTTCGATATAAATCGCCATCCTCTCTCATGTGACGACGTCGATAAAAAGTTTAAATGTCTCCACATCGATGTTGTGGATGACGTCATGGGGTCAATATGGATGACGTCAGGGGTCAATGTGGAGTTCCTCGGCCTGCGCATGTCTATGACATTGCCCACTGTGATCGTGCTCGGTGAGAACAGCGAGGAGTTGCGATTTTTGTTCTTCAAGTTGGTCGATCTCGTCCAGGAGGTCTTGCTTGCTACTCTCCAGTTGGTCGGTCTCCTGCAACATAATATGGCAGAGAAATGAAATTAAAATGCTTCACAAAAGCATCTTGGAGAAACTGTGATGCACACTTTCATCATGATTAACAAAATACATTTTTATAGAGCAATACATCTTCAACCCCGCCTCCCCGGGCGGGAGCACTGAGAGTTCGAGTTCGCACCCCCTCCCCTCCCCCAGCAAGGCCGAATATTTATTTTTTCCCCTTTGCAGTTTTATTTCTTCTGTTGCCTTCCCTTATCCTTACTATTTAATTTTTTAAAGATATACTAAATTATTCATACCCTCACTAAGTTTTTTAATTTTTGAAGAACGTGAAATTTGATTTTTCCTGATCTACGTTTCTTGAGAATTTGACATATTAAAGCTTACATCTAAATCTAAAAGTATTAAACAACGGACCTAATTCAACATGTCCACCGTTAATCCTTGAGTTACGAAGAAGAAAAAAAAAACACACACACACAAAATCAAATTTACAAGGGGTATGAATAATCTAGTTGTTAACTGTATATGCTTTTTATCAACTGATTAATCAATTAATTACATTTTAAGCGCATCGAAGTATTCATGTAATGCGCTCTATAAATGTGGATATTATTTTCATTTAGTTACATTTTGTTGCTTTCATTTACTTATTAATTTCAATTTAATATTTTCTTCGTTTATACGTTAATCTATTCATTCATTAATCATATAATATTGGGTAAGATGGATTACGGGATGACTGCTTTGAAGTCATTGTGACAGACAGTCTTTTTAGGGGTGGGTGGGGGTTAGGGGCGCCATAGACGGTACACCCTTGGGGTCAGCCTTGATGTGACGTACCTCGACCAAGACAAAAGTTCGCTCTCTCCTCCTCTCTCTGCACCTCGAAGCAGCAACTCGATTTCTTTCTCGACGTTGTCTCCGCTTGGCCTCTTCCTCTTTTGAAAGCTGGAAATATGCAAGTTAAAGCAATAAAAGAAAGAAAATTGTGAAAAGGAAAACAAGATTGCAAACATCATGATGAAAAACGAAAGCCATTATACACACTTCCTCCTTGTGTTTTCAAAATGTATTCCTTTTCTTTTGATCTATAGATGTATTTTCCTATAATCTCCCTTTTAGAATGAAAATACATGTATGAACTTTGCAAAAAGCACTAGTATTTACATATCAAAATGATGTAATGAACGAGGTCACACATCTGATAAATCCAGTCGGTCACTTGTAGCTCTCATATTATCCAAGTATCAATCTTTATCTCAAGTAAATCTATTTTACGCTCTTGTATATCTGTTCCACTTTCTATATTTACATTGATATACAAAATGCCGATGTAATATTAATATTTTAAAAATAGATAATAAATAATTTGTTTATAGTGTTGATTTATCAACAAATTCATAATATCAAAATATGAGAATATTTTTGGACTATATTATCATTTAAAATACGTCTAGATAAGCAACTATAAACAGGAAAAAAACATGTACAATAATCAATATTTAACATAATATGACATGTAACATATATCTTGAATTGTAATTTACATGATATTTCTCTTTTAGTTTTGTGAATGGATATTCTTTTCTACTTATATGTATCCTCGATAGTTATAAAAACATACATTTCAGCTTTTTAGCTGCAGCATGTGCATCAATATTGTACTCTATGTTTTTCGCAATAAAACCATGAATTGAATATAAGTAGATTATGATAAGAATACCATACCGATTCTTGTCCATTTGCCTTCCAATCCAGCCGAATACCCCCTAGGCCCTTCTGTATCCTTTTCTGTATGATACTGCATCGTATCTCATCCCGAAGCTGAGTCCCTTGATTGAGGCAGGGATCTGAAACGTCTCCCTGGGTCAGGTAATCTTCCCCCGACAGCAGCGACTGATTGGCGAACGATCCCGTATCCGAGTCCGAAGACGACGTCGAAGCCGTGGTCGTGAGTCTGCCTGACCACATCAACGAATCGGCCGATGTCGTCATGTTCGCTGCTAGTTCGGTGTCTGAACAGGAGATGAAAACACAAATGTTGATTAAATGAGAATGGGGTGTTAACGCAGAATTTAGAGGAAAAGGAGAATGAAGAATATGGTCCTTTAATTATATCGTGAACGAAACTTTATAGAAGTAATTGGGAGAGATTGATTATGTAGTATTTGTGTATTTGTTTTTGTTTTGTTTGTTTTTATTTCTGCGTTTTCAAAATAGAACATAATCATCTACACTAAAAGTAATAATTTTGTCTTCATTTTACATAATTATACATTTTTAAGTACATTAAATAAGATGCATACAAACACAAATATTTTTCAATGAAAATAGATAAATTGCGGAAAACGTAGGAGACCGCCATCATGAGCGGCAAGCTGTGTATACTGTGAGAATTCGAATCATATAAACCAGTTTAAAGCGATGTTAAACACGTTAAAAGAGTATACGATTGCAGCTATCCTTAAATCTTGTATTTACACAAAATAACATGAGACAAAATTAGTGTTTCTTTTAGTTACCTTACTGAAAATCACTAACTAATTGACTTACTAAACTCGCTAAATGAAAATTCTTTTAATTGATGAAAATTATTCACTAATTGAAACTACCATATATGTTATCCTTCAACACAAAATGACAGAATACTTATTCAAAGGAGAAAACTTTAACAAGGTGAAAAAGGACCTTTACTAATTTTTGACGTCACGACATTATAACTTCCTTAATTCGGCTACTTTCGATGGGTTACTATTCTGGAAGTTCAAATGTTTATCCTACGCTATTATTTCCTTCTCCGCTTCCTACGATACCACCTAATATGAATCATTTCGCTTCATAATGGCTTTAAAAAATATACCGAAATATTTATAGGACTGAAACAAAACCAATAGTATATGAGGTTGAAGGATGGTAATGAGTCACATGTTGGGGTATACCTCCATCTATTTATAACACTGTCAACATTGATGAATAATTTGTAAACCTATCGAGAGCTTTACACGTGGTTTTCTTGTTAACCAATGCAAATAAATCAGAGGTCATATCTGTTACAGTACAAATATTAATGAATGAGTAAATAAATTATAGCAATGAACTTGCAGAAAGTACTCTAATTCATTTTTTTTTATCAATTAGGATGCTGGAGAAAAAAAGGACATCGCTCAGGGCAGAGCCATTTGGTCTTGTTTAAATGGCAAAATGTTAGGATAGATTTATGCACAATGTAGCCTATGTGTCACCGGAAGGTAAGATCATTACAATAAGGAGATAAAACTATTGAGCCTATCAAACGAAATGACGCATTTGCTGAAATATGACGAGATATAATATTTCTATTCTTTTGAAAAGAACGGAGATTAAAGAAACCGAGACAAACAAACAAACAAACATACAAACAAACAAGTAGATTTTAAAACTTTGCTTATAATTAGTCCAATGGGTTAGACCCACACAAGATATATTTTGATCTAGCTGTTCGTATGTGTACTATTCTAGAGGACATACAAGCACAATTTTACTCTTATAAATAACTATAATATCTTTACCAGCATTAACACAAATTAATCTCATCACTATATGGAATAGACATCACGGAATGACCATGGCCTGGCAAAGTACGAATAGCCGGTAGTTATGTCCGTTTAGAACTACTCGGAATATCTATTGTGATTTTTATATCTGTGGTCTATGGTATCCGCCAGAGGTCAAAGTATTTTTAATAACATAATTATTTGATTGAATGAGCAATAGATAAACAATATTTTTCCAGGACAATGGGTTCTTATTATAGTTCGAATCAATAGGTCTATATATATATTTACCACTAAACATTTACCATGAACCACACTCTTAAAATAGATAGTGGCCTCTAGATCTATACACAAATTGTACACCCTTATCACGATACCCCAAATAGTTATTAGTATTTAGGGTGTCATGTTATTAAATATTAAGGAATTACGAAATAAATCGAGCTCAAGGTATAGTGCCCATATTTGAATATGTCATATTGTACATGTCACATAAATATCACGTGAATATAATCATTTGTATATGAATATGGAAGTATCAGTTCTTAAAGGGATCCGGTAACTTTGTCTCAGATTCTGAAAACATATTCTGGATTTAGCTCATGATGCAATGATAATTATAAACCTTTAGGTCAGTCAGGAACCCCGTGACTTTTACAAGCCGATCGCCTGTCTGATTATCAAGATATTTATGATTGGAATTACACATTTTGAAAACCGTTCGCCTGACGGTTTTCATAACACTACAGTCTATTGGGGAAAACGAGTATGGTAAAACCGGTCACTCAAAGATTTTTACTTTTTTGAGGCACTTCTTGATCATTTTGAAGCGCGATTTTTTAGGGCTTCAATATTACATCATATCACAGACACTGATAACACGTAGGGCCGTGTATCTCAGATTTAACATTGTTAAACGATCCCTTTAATGTGACATACAGCAAACACACTGTGAATACGTTTTGATAAAAATCAAGTGCAGAAATACGAAAAGCACTTACCGACAATAGAATCAATTATCTTGTAGAAATGCAGTATGGACGCAAAACGGCTAAAAGTTCACCTTTTGTTTATAACAATTGTCAAAGTCACAATGCAAATATACTCCGCCACTCCCGATGCGCTAATCATTCAATGTGCCCAAATCGTATTAAGTTGGTGAAGGCCTTCTTTCAATAATAATCATGTATATTGGCGTTTGTTGAATACTACAGACGGATAAGTCAGCTTATGTGGTAGGTATATAGGACGGTGCTCTGCTTGACAAGTGACTAAACTATTGTAGTTTGAGCTATAACCATGATAACCCTGTCATCCTGGCATATGATTTCCGATTTCTCTTCTGGAGTTAACGGTGTTGTTTTGTCAGTTTTGGTGGAAATACCGGATCTGAGTCCAAGTAAAATAGTTCCGATCTATGATGTGGACCAGTGCACACCAGCACCAGGAAACACAACGGAACTACAATGAGTTAACAGGACCTTGTGAGAAAAGAGGGTGCGTTTATAAATTAGGTTTTAACCTAGAGGGAAAATAACATTGTTGTCAAGAAAGCACACCTCGCATATTAAAGAATTAGTGGGAGTAAAGAACCATTGGAAATCCTTGACATATTTTGATTTCATTTATGAAAAGACTCACTGAGCTGGTACCTGGATTTTTAATTGCTACCCGAAGATTCCCCATAAAAATGTTGCGAACAAATAAACAAACAAGACCAATACAACTGTAAACGAGAGTTCAAAATAAGGTTAATGACGAACTTCAGACATATAAACATGACATAGGTAGGCCTAGATAGAAAATGTTCTTGAAAGGTATGATAATAAACTTTATATTAAATAATTATGTTTTTTTTTTTGGAGGGGGTAGGAGTAGGCGACCCTCATTATGTAAGGCAGTTTGGATTTGGTCTTACTCGGAAAAATGAAATGCGATTTTAAAAGGCTACTGATATAATAGAGAGAGGGCATGGAGGTTGTCCAGGCCTTTTCTTCCCCTTCCCCCTTTCTTATTTATTTCCTCTCTTATCCTAACTTTTTCCCACCCTCTCGATAGGGAGAGGGGGGGGGGGCGTGTCTACGTATCCCTGTTGTAGCTGCATCACTGTTCAATATTACAGGTAAATCGGGCTCTATTTTACCCTCTCTAGCTACTGAACTTGGTGCCGATAGGACTGGCCGCAAAGTGACTAATCATATAGCTTGATTTGCTGATCAGTGATGATATCTATGTATTATTTGTTTGTGGTTTTAACTCGTATTTGTCAATGGTTCGTACCGGGTCATGGATTTTCGTCTGAATTATAAGAATGCGTTTGGTTTCATAAACGACCTCATGTTCTCGTATCGGTTTATTTAAGGTAAAATTTAAGAAAACAGAATTCATTGCGATATTTCACAAATTAATATGCTCAACGATGGACATTGTTATTTCACCTTCAATTTTTTAACTAAATTTATTTCTCCTCTCAAATCATGAAATAGAAGAAATTGTTTTCTTCTTTTCCTTAAAGATGGTTATTACATGTACAATCACACAGTGGCATTAAAACACATGACTTCTGTCCATCCATACACAATCATTGTCAAATCTGGAAAATTCTTTTTCTTTATTATGCCATCCGTCCCTCAATCATCATGAGTGTATCCCATGTCCTGATACGAGTACATGAGTGAAAAGGGATAGTTTGAAGGTAAAGGATGGTAGGTGACAGCTGCAGGGGTAGTGGGGGGGGGGGGGGGGTGCGATATAGCAGGGGGTATCCAATAAAGGAACAGTTATTTAGGGACAGCTACCAGCCCCTCCCAAATAAGAACAGATCCCCACCTCGTAACCTTCTCCTCCCAACCTGGAATAATTTATGCTTTGGAATGGGTGGGGTAGAATGAAATAGGAAATTATAATTTTCTCGACATAATAGTCCCTTTTCTCCTTTTCTCTCTCTCCTCTTTTTTATCTTCATTCCCCTCCGATTTTTTGTTCTTATGTTTTATCCGCCGACGGCCAGGAATGACCCCATCTTTTTTAAAATGTTGTGTAAATCAACATGATCAATAACTGTCATTTGATGACTTTTTAAATCACTTTACTATTGGAAAATTATGATTCACCGTTTTCTAACGGCACAACTTGATACCGCAATCCCATTGATAGCCCCCCCCCCCTCCCCTCTGCAATTCCACTTGGACTTTAATCTAAACGTCCATTCATGACTGGGGTTTATTTTCATTTCTATGTTTATTTCTTTTGGCATTGTTATGGCCTTGGTTCGATGTCCGTCGAGTTATATAGGAAACACGTGTAATTGTCCAGAACAAGTCCGATAGTGCTATATTTCCGCTTAGAAAGTGAACCAAATCTTTCTTAAAGTTAAGTTTATAAACAATGGGATGTCATCCAAGGGAAACATGAATCGGACAAACAAGATATCCCTTCTCTAATTACATTTAAAGTACAAGGCGTCCGACCTGTTTCTTAATTTGACTGTAATGATAGAACGCTAAGGTTGTGTGATAAGTGATAAACAACGTTTCCTACTGGGTAAGTGTTGCAGTGTTTCTAACTTGCAAATGTTTTGCGAATGTCTTTATAAAAATACACTTAGAAATGACAACAAGATATTGCGAATTTGACTTTTTCGTTCGCAACATCTTGTTGTCATTTTAAGTGTATTTTTAAAGACAGTCGCAAAATACTTGCAAGTCAGAAACATTGTACCACTTAACCAATAGGAATCGTCGTTTATTAAAGTGAGGATATAAAGACAAAAATTGAAAATGACCAATCATATATACTGAAGTAACTTTTATTTTGGGTGGTGGAAATGCTGTTATAATGTTGCCAAAGAACTACATTTTTTTAGGGCAGCCACGAAGTATTCATAGCCAATGAGTACATGTATGTCATTAATTCGAAGAAAATAGTATCTGTCAATTTCACCATCGTTACTATTATTAATATCATTGTGATCATGTAGTTAATTTGTTGCAGTGGCTCAAACTTTTGATTTTTGAGTGAAACAAAATATCACCCCATTGGATTTAAGCTAATTTTTCAGCTTTCATGAGTTACTCTGACATGTTATATTATTCTACTTCAGTGTGATGCATTTGTTATGTTCTAAACGTGTTATAATTTTACCTATTATGCAAAAACCTTTCGTCTGAAAGTGGAACACAAATTGAAAAGTTCATGGAAACAAAAATAGGCCTACCAACTCACGGAAATTGGTTGTAGATGTATATTTATGTTCTTAATTTTGATGAAAAAGATCACATGTGGTATGATTTGAAAGAATTCTGTGTTTATCAACCTCAACGATCGTTGGAACTTATAGAGTAAATTGTAAATTGAAAAGAAAAAAAGATGTAAAATAATTTTCCGTCTTCTGTTGATTTCACTTCACAAAAGAGAGAGAGAGAGAGAGAGAGAGAGGAAGAAAAAAAAAAGAAAGAGAGAGAGAGAGAGACAGGGAGAGAGAAAGAGAAACAGAAACAGAGAGAGACCTGGCGCGTGGGGGGGGGGGGGGTGGTTTCGAGTGCTAATTCCAAGACCGATATATCCCGAATATTGTTGAAATATCAATTTAGTCATGTTGACATTCAAGAGACACAAAAGAAAAATCATCTCATTTCCTCGGATTTCCTGACCTCCCACATATCAATTTTTCGCCCATGAGTCGCGAGGAAACTGTCCCATCATTTGGTTTATCCACACCCTTTCCCCTTGCCCGACATATTCCTTTCCGTGTCATGTTTGGTTAGAGAGCGCGGGAAAAGACAGTCCCAACAGGCATAGCATCGTCTGGCCAGGCGAAGTGTAGGCGTAGTAGGTCCATGATGAGACACCACCACACTGATGGCATTCTCTTCATGTTAACTATCAGGCCATATACTTGATATAAAAGTCCAGGAGCTGGTCCCCCGGGGGCACAGGGGTCTCGCCCCCCACCAAAAAGAAAGAAAAAAAAGGGGAAAAGGAGGAAGAAGAGGGCTGCTGATTGTTGTTTTGGCATGTCAGAGAATATTTTATTCAACACAGCACATATACATATCTGATGCCCTTTCTGATGCTTGTCAAAAAAATCTGATGCTTGTCAAAAAAAAATATCAGACTTTTGTCACCCCCTCCCCGACAATCGTGACAGAGAATCTCGGAACTGTCGCTGAAGTTGTTTGTTGAAAAAGATCTCTGACATGGTATACTGTTCAAAATGGTAACATCAGAAAAGTAAATGAATATAAAACACAAGTACAAATGCATGAAGTAATTCAAACAACAAGACATACAATCAAATCAAATCGTTTATTGAAATAATACAATGTATCTCCACGTCTTGTCATAAATAAAAAAATCAGCGAAGAATGTGTCAAAAGAATAGAAAACACAAGGATAATAATATTAAACAAATAAATGAACTATATACAATTCATTTATTTCGTTTCGTAGCCAGGACTTTTTAAGGGGAGGTGCTTTTTTTTGCTCAATTTGTGAGAAATTATACAGCACCTACGTGGATCCTTGTCATTTGATTAGAGGATTGTTGGTCACATGATATTCAATAGATGTTCTATTGCACGGGCGTGCATTTTTGGTTATATTCGCCTTACATTTTTGGTTATATGCAGACTGTGTACTTCTCTGCCGTGCGCGTATCCCTGCGTGTATCTGACGCGAAGGCAATCTGAATGTAATCGAGAAGGCTTGACTCCAACTTTAATTTATCTTTAATATAAGGAGTAAAGCATAATTTGTGATTAACGTTCTATTAGATCTTCTTTGATGTTGTATAAAACAAATAATGAATGTTTTTCATTCGTTCAATAGTGCGATTATTTTCATTTGTTGAAAGATTAACTTTAATTCTATCTTTCAACTCATGAAAATATTCGCACTATTGAACTCATAATCATTCAGTATTTTGTATATTAGCGGCGAATCAGCCAGCCGGTGAATAAGTGGGGGGGGGGGGGGGGGTGAACATTATTTTTTGCTGAACGAGGGCCCGGGGGGGGGGGGGGGTGAACATTCCTTTTTCCCCTCAATATCCACCCCCCCCCCTTTGAGCAACAAATTGAACACCTAAAACACCCCTGTTTGCCAAGGATGGAGGGGTGTTTTGAACACCCAAAACACCCGCCCTTGGCCTGACATACGTAATATGATTTTCATCAAAAGCAACCATAGCAAAATAACAATAACTATAGACCAAATGAGGGCGGCTGGAGATGGCATTCGTTCTGGAATTGAATAAAGAAATCCTCAAGGAAAATGTATTCACAAATTTACAAAGGCTTATTCGAAGCCTATAATCATAATAATATCTATTGAACAGAAAGGCGTCATAAAACTGGTATCAACCCACAATACGAGATCTCAATTCCTAATTATATCTAACAGCTATGATCCACAACAATTACCGAAATAATTGGAAGCCGGGTGGTCAATTTTGTGCTACCATTGTGTTTTAGTCATTGTACTTCGGCAAACTTTGTCCATTTTATTTTATCCACAGGAGAACTATGGTCTGGATAGTCCCGTCTCGCAGTATGCCAGTGAAAGATAATTAGAGTTTTCCATGTTCTACATTGTCTGCTGTAGCACTACCTGAGGCAGTCGTCTCACAAGTCACAAAGGCTAACTAGCACCTCGGTTAATTACATTGGCCAACAGGTGATTGACGATGAGTAATGGTAAAGAGCCTGATTTGAGGCCACTCGTGAATAATTAGCTCTGCTGGACACATGATCATCATTAAACTCGTCAACTATTTTACATGACACAGAATACTGTTATATTTAACTTTCTGAAGAGCTTTTGACTTTAACTTTTTGAATATTTCCCTATAAACATTGAATCACATAGATTCCTATTGTATTAATTTATATGTAATTATTCCGAAAAGTTCGATCAAGGAGTTCATTTATGTCTATTTTATGTTTCTTGAATGTTAGATGATCAAGCATTAACCTGGCTTTCTCAACCCACACTCCTATCTCTCTCTCTGTCTGTCTATCTCTGTCTGTCTGTCTCTGTCTCTCTTTCTCACTCTCTATTTCTTCCCACCTTTCTCTGATTCCCTCTGTATGTCTGTTGTCTCTTTGTCTCTGTCTCTCTGTCTGTCTGTCTGTCCCTCTCTCTCCCACTTTGCATCTGCACTTTTCGTACAATCACATTTGAGACAATGGGGGTGTCTTTGATATAATAATGGAGATAATAAACAAACGAAAGATAAAGGAAATGGAGAGGAAGCATTGAACTTAAAAACCCAGCACTTGCAATATAATATTTGGCAAGTACTCTATTTTTATTATTGCGCTGTACGTGATTTTGCATTAAGTCATTCTAAGTAGAATTCACTCTGTCATCATTCGTCTAAATATAAAAGAAATCAAATATAGAGCCAGAGTGAATAATGACTTCTAAATCCTATACCATCTGCTCGCTGTATTATAGAACACTACTGCTCTGCAAACCCTCAGTCCCCGTTTCAAAAAACTTGTTATCAATAACATGTTGCAATATCTGTTATAAGCTACTGAAATAAAGGCATTTGATTGGCTGAGAGCAAACTCGTCACAGATAATATTCATTATCGATAGCGAAGTTTTATGAAACAGGATCTGCATATTTCAAGTGGTCATGAATAGGACAAAATTATGTTTTTCGTCATACAACGTTGTGTTTCTGCCATCTCATATTCATGATCGAGCGTAACAATAATAAAAACATGTTCAACAAGATATTATTTTTCCTGATGTTGATATTATAAAAGCATCTTGTATCATGGAGTGAACATAGAGAAAAGAGCGGCACAGAATCGCTCCCTTTTAAAGTGCTGCCATTGTATTCAAGTTTTTCTAGTAACAAATGCAACTAAACGTTCTTATTTCCCGCCGCATGTGCAAACTTAATAATGGCGGTAAATCTTAAAAGAACTTCCTATTCTTAATTTCCAAGAGGTTTTGTTGAAAGTCTTCACGGGTCTTGTGTAGGTCGACGTCATATTGATGATATCCGTTATTCAGATATGCTTGATGAGTGTGATGAGAAGCTTCCGCGTGAAACGAACTTGCAGGGGTGAGGGGGGCTGGGAGGGAGAGAGAGAGAGAGACGGGAGACAGAGAGAGAGAGAGAGAGAGAGGGGGGGAGAGATCGGGGTGGGGGAGAAAGAACGAATGAAGGGAGAGAGTGAGGAAAGGGTAAATGGGTAGACAGAAAGAGAGACAGAGAGACAGGGAAAGAGAAGACGAGGGGAGTGAGAGAATGGTTAGAAGGAAGGGGGCAAGAGGGGGGAAGAGGGGGAAAGAAGGAGAGAGAGAGATAGTGAGGCAAGACAATGGAATATCGAGAGGGGTGTTGAAGCAAGAGAGAGAAAGAGAGAGAAAGGGAGAGAGAGAGAGAGAGAGAGAGAGAGAGAGAGTGGGGGGGGGGGGGGGGGAGGGGAGAAGGGGAGTGGGGGGTTAATGGGAGGGTGGTGCGCGAGCGTGCGAAGGTTGGGTGAGCGAACGCGCCGGTATGATCATGAGCGCGACGCGGCGCTGATGTTGCACGCTACCTATCGAGAGAGTGTTCACTTCACGCTGGGAATCGGTGCCACTTGTTTGCGATCCAACCGGTCGTCTCACCTTGTCTTTCTGGCTTCCAACCAAGCTCTCACTCGGCTCCTTGTCAGGTGTCTCCTTCAACACAGAAGAGATGTAACTCTGACAACTCACGTCGGATTCAGCAGGAGATATTATCTTCATATTATCTTTCGTTTTTTAAATCTTTTTGTGACATTCCACATTTCCACGGAAGATAAGCAATCGAGCGATGTTGCAAGCAGTTCCTAGCACCGGGAGTTTTTGCTATTCATGAATTGCTTGAGCGGGATCGAGACATCTAGACCCTGGAATACTTCATCAAGTTTTTGGAATACGAATTGCATTTCAACAGGGGTTCAAGGGATTATTAATCAAATCAACTGCGAGATAATATGCCTATGAATCAAAATCATTTAGTGTTGAATGTTGATGTAGTGACTTCTTCAGGATTGGTAATTATGTGCCACTGATGCCCATATTGCGCCATTTGATACTATTTGAAGTAAATTTTTTATAATACCGGAAGGACGTCATTTTGGAAGAGAAGGGAACAATTAAACATGTGTTGTGACTGTGTGTGCCGCTTGACCAAAGATTGCCACGCCGAAATGGCCGATAACCAGGACAACAGCAACGACTCTAGACGATCCAGTCAAAATTTTCCCGCCAGAGGATATAGCAGACGACACATTTCGCTGCTGTCTGCCTGTCTCCTAGCGATCGCTTATATCCTTGCCTGCCTGCCCTACCCGGCTGAGGCCATTGGACAGATTCGGTGGGAGTACCACGATTATGCCATGTTACATCAAGAATTGGATGACTTTCGCTTGCGTTGGCCCCAACTGAGCAGAGTGTACACTATCGGAACCAGCGTAAAAGGGCGGGAGATGTATGTGTTGGAAATTAGTGATAATCCCGGAGTCCACGAAGTCGGTAAGTTGTTATTTTCTTAATGACAAATCAGGCAAAAATATAAGGACGAATTAAAAAAAGGTTGAGGGAAACGAAATAATATTTAGGGGCTACTTGGAATTTTATTTGCGGTTTTTGAGACACCATATCCTGAGGTCTATTTGATACAACCCATCATCCTATTGTTCGAAACATCATTAGCAGTCTACATAATGATTATGTTAAAAGTGTTCAGTCCAAATGCAAATAATAAATAATAATAGTGGGTTCTTGTAAATGAATTGACATATTACTCCCCGAATAATTTGATAACAAAGTCGTTATGACGCATAAATATGCAGCAAGGTGTGATTTTATTGTGTTCAAGATATCTGTTCCTATTAAAACCATTTCCCAAATTACGTAGTTATTAAATCCCACGTAGTTAAGTATAACTTTGAAGCAGTTTGAAAGAACGTTGGCTTTCACGAGGGGAAAATAAACAAAACCTTTAATGTGGGTTGCTCTCTCGACAGTGCACGGATCAGTCTCCTTTCTGGTTAAAAAACAGACTTTCTGATTTAATCCTCTCTTGAAAGAGGTGACAGGTAAAGAAACCCACACCTGTCTGACATCTGAGCGGCAAAAATCATATCCAAACCGATTAGCTTCATTACACCGGCTTTCCGCTCTATCTGTAAAAGCACAGTAGCAAGCCCCGGACGAGTAGGGGGTGAACGACGGAGAAAAGGGATCGAAACTAACCACCGCACAAGATCAAGGACGAGACGCTTTATTTATAACTTCCATTATCTCAAGGAACGGGTATCAAAGAAGGTCTGAAAAGCGATACCTATAGATCAGGGAAATGTTACGACCCTGCCTTAATGGAGGGTTGTGTAAGGTTATAAGATTGCGTGACAATTAAAGGATTCCCCACATATTTTAGATGTTTTGTAGCAAGCCTTGAACAGATGTTTGTGTATTTTTTGACGGAGTTGATGGCCTTCAAACTTTTGAGTGAGTTAAATTTTCAGCGGAAAATTTGCTTGTATCTGCAATGTGCTCCGTCATTTCATACATCCATGTAATTTGTAATTCTCTTTAAAAAATTCTTCTGGTTTTGGTTTTCCTTTGCTTACATCACTGTAGGCCTATATATTTTTGGGGTTCGTTTATTCATTTATTTTGTTTAGACTTTTCTTCTTGAATATCGGTATTGGTTATCCTTTGTTAACATCTTCTTTAATTCCATTCTTTCTTTGTGCTAAGATTTCTTTCTCACTCTCTTTGAAAATCTCCCTCCCTCTGAATTCCTGTTTCCATTTATCTATTCCTCCAATCTAAATCTTTCCTGTTTCTGTTTCTGTTTATCTTTCTTCCGCTCGCTTTAACTTTGTTTCTGCTTCTTGCACTCTTAGATTTCTACCTTCCTTTCTTGGTTCTCTCCATCTGCATAGTCTGACACTTTCCCTTGCCCCCCCCCCCCCTCCACCGTCTAGCCGTCTCCGTGCCTTCGTGCTTTATTCTTAACTACCTGCAGACATCGACCCGAATGTTATTCGATGTACAGTTAGATGTTTACCTTTGCAGTTCAAAGGGGAACTTCAATTTAACAGTTGACCGATTTCTCAAATAGTTCTGAAATTGGATTTCTAGGTTTGAATACTACCACACCACATATCCCTTTCTTAATACAAGTTTTCAAAGGTAAATACAAATATCTTATTTCCTGGGGATTTTGTCGCACGACCTCGGTGTTTTGATTCTTTCTTATCAAATATGATTGCTTATTATTATTAGATGATCAAACTTATTTACAGTTTCCTCTTTTCATTTCGAAGCTTCAGAAAAGAATCGATTAGGATGGCTCTACTTTAATTTGTCAATTTGTTTCTCAATGAAAATAATAACGACATTATTCTTTGTGGTGCTCCCTGTCCTCTCTATCTCTGTTTCTCATTCTCACCCTCTTTCTCTCTCCCATTCTCCTCTCCCCATCTCTTTATCCCTCTTTCTCTCTTTCCCCTCTCTCGATATATTCTTTAAAATTATGGTTATACTTACGCCATACACGACATGGTTACAATGACAGCTAATCTCCTAAACGCGTCCAGTTTGCCTTATCATCAACACTCATTTCAGAAGAATTTTGAGAGTGAACGTCTTTGTGCGATTTTCTTTTGAAATTATTCAGATGAAGGAAATCGTTGAAATATGATATTTGTGAATAGCAACTATGAACGTTGAGCGATTGTGGCTTTAGTGAACAATACTCTTTTGCTCAAACTTCCACTCAACATTCGTTTATCTCATTTTTCTGCTTTTATTCAAACCAACTTAATATCAGGGTGGACTTCCCTTTAAGGATGCGACGTTGAGACATTTAAGAAGGATTTTGAGAGTGGCTTCGTACGATTTTCTTTTGAAATATCAGATGAGGGAAATATTTGAAATATGATGTTGGTGAATAGCGACTTCTCCTATGTAAACCTTGATCAACCTTGGCTATAGTGAACAATACTCTTTTGCTCAAACTTCCACTCATTTTTATCTCATTTTCTGCTTTTATCAAAACCAACTTCAAATATCAGGGTGGACTTTACCTTTAAGGATGCAGCATTGAAGCGTTTCAGAGCGATGTTGAGAGTGGCTTTGTACGATTTGCTTTTGAAGTTATTTATATGAAGGAAATCGTTGAAATATGATATTGGTGAATAGCGACTTCTCCTGCGTAAACCTTGAGCGACCGTGGCTATAGTAACCAATACTCTTTTGCTCAAACTTCCACTCATTCGTTTATCTCATTTCATGTTTTTATCAAAACCAACTTCTAATATCAGGGTGGACTTCACCTTTAAGGATGCAGCATTGAAGCGCTTCAGAGCGATTTTGAGGGTGGCTTTGTACGATTTGCTTTTGAAGTTATTTAGATGAAGGAAATCGTTGAAATATGATATTGGTGACTCGCGATGTGTAAACCTAAAGCGATCATGGCTAAAGTGAGCAATACTCTCTTGCTCTTTCTACCCTTCCATGAAAGTAGGTTAAGAACAAAACTCAATCCTTGTAAACTTTAACCCAATTGAGACGGGGCTGATCATCAAGTTACATGGGGTTTATTGGAGAGTTAAAGAGAAGGTTGAGTTCTGGGAAGAGACGAAAATTATTTGTGAGCGTTATCATTGTTATTATGCAAGTGTGGAAGAACATTAGATAACAAATGTTCCTTGAAAAGCATGGCTCTTCAAATGCCTTCATATTCTTAATATGGCATGTAACATCAGAAAAATCGGGACGGATTTTTATGTCACATGTTCATGTAGTCCCATATACATATTTCTTATCATTTTGATGATTTTAGAACCTTGCAGTACACACCAATACTAATAAGCTAAATAATCAACCTTTTCTGATCGATTCCAAAACGTTTCTTTCACAATGCAATCGCAAGACAAAGATCAGAACTCAACTTTGTCTTTAAACCCGATAATGACGTTCATTTGTCACCATGAGCTCAACACATTCAAACCCTGGTGACACTGGAACGAGAAATACAAGATTTCCTTCTCGAGGAATTCGATCCCATCCTAGGTATTACAAGTTAAAGGTGGTGACGTGCCATTGTAGGTAGAACAGAGATTCAGAAGACTGAAAACATCAAAAATATCTATAGTACTTATGGTATAAATTTGTAAATAGACAATTTTATCTCGTCTTGACGATTCCTGAGAGGAACAGGATAAATATTACATTACTTTTGGTTGCATAAATTTCTGTTTTGTGCTAACGATTACTTTTATCATTAAAGACAGACCGCTCAAAGAAAAGGCCCATAAAACCTATAGCCTAAGCTATAACGTTATAAACCACCATTGAAGCGGCATCATTCGAGGAGCGGGGGCGGGGAGTCCTTCTATTTATGAAATTAATCCGATTACAACATTGCTGTCTTCTAAAGACAGATCGACAACACTGCAGCCATGCTTGTAACATTACATCAAATTATAAGAAAACAAACACAAATGTATGTTAACATGTTTGCCTAATTGATTGATTGATTGATTTTATTTATCGAGTACTAAACATTATATATAGTTAACTTAAAGATATGAAAAAAAGTAATTTTGGAAGGACACCATGATCAGCTGTGCCTAATTGAAATTTGAAGTTTAATTTACTAAATACAATATAATTCTACAATATATTAGTGATATGATTGATCTTTACCAACATCCAGTAACACAGGGAACATTCCCCTTTCCCTTTCCCTTTCCCGAGGTGAGCAGAAAGACGATATACCCGTTAAATACGAAGCCCAATTTAGAAATCCTTTTACAAGGCTTTGCTTTCCATGGAGCGCTATTATATAGGGCGGAAGGTATTGCTTAACCTCTTACCCTTCGAAAAAGAAATACGACACGGCCAAGATCCTCTCTAAAGTCATCCGATCGAAGTTGAAATGGATGGAGTCCTACCTCTTTTTCATTTCAATCCCCTTCTTCTTTTTCTTCTTCTACTTCATATTCATTTGCTTTGAGCCCCTCATTTATTTCTGAGTGTTAACCTTGGGAAGGATGTAGCCCAATAACGAATTTTCATTAAAAAGATATTGACGTATCGTGCAATTTCTATAAATGGCATTCGTCTTGGCAAACAGGAAAGTAGGCCAGTATACTTAACCTAAAGTCATGAGAGCCGATCCATGGAAATTCTCCCGCCAAATTTCGGCTTCAAACGTGACTAAAATTATGTCGTATTTTAGCTCAATAAGCATTTCCATGACCGATCGTAAATTCTAAACATCATGCGACAATATAAATATAGTTTACCTGCCAATTAGGTTAGAGAAGATCCTTGTTTAAATTAAATATGATATTTTATCCGTCTGATCTTCTTCACTTCACGCGGAGAAACCTTGACTGCCATCAAACAAGTTATCGCCATGGTTGTGATAATGCATGCTGGGATACAACGGGGATTGAAGGTTGTAGAAGGTGGGGTGCCCTGTCGGTTGATGTCTATATCTTAATTTGGAGCTT